AGTAGTTATTNTAGTATAACTACTACTACTATAGTATACTATACTAATTATTATATAGTATATATATATATATATATATATATATATAATATATATATATCCCTACCTTTATCTAAATATATTTAGTTACATGTCTATTTTGATATCCACATCTATACCTATACCTATATCTATATCTATATCTATCTTTATCTATGGTTCAAAAATATGTTTAAATATATATATGCCTATGTTTATAATTCCATATATATACATATATATCTATATCTACATACACACACACACACACACACACACATATATATATACACATATATATATATTTACATATATACATATACATATACATATGCATGTGCATTCATAGTATACACACACATACGCACGCACGCACACACACACACACACACCCACACGCACATACAAATACACACACACACACACACTGACATATATATAATATATATATATATATATTTTACCGTATATTTGTCTTGAGAGTTTATGTAAAAAAAATCGGTTGTTGTTGATGTGATTTGATCGGCACAATAGATCAATTGATGTCTGGGCATCATGCTCGCTGTAAATATTGACTTTCCACAGTCCATTGTTATGCGCAGACAAAATTTCAAATACACCTTGGTTATAACTTCTATGACTATGGATTTTTATAATGGCAAACTTACTATAGATTGCACACACCATATTAATCACCAATTTGTATCCCAATTCTATGCATTTAAACAAGTCTACTACTAAAGTATGCTATAAGCTGATAGTCATGATTGAATACCGCATACTCAAAGTACATACTTATATTTTTTACGGTGGTCTCAAATACTGTAGGCGTGTATACATCTGGCCACTCTCCCTTGGCAAAGCCTATGATTAGATTCGTCTTTCCCACTGCACCATCTCCAACAACTATCAGTTTCTTTCGTAAGCTACCCGACATAGTTATTTAGTATATATATGTGTCTATGAAGTGTATGGGGTATTATCTCGTGAAGCTGGTACAACTGATAGATAGCAAAACTGAGACTCAATTACAAAGAACCGTCGTGTATTAACAAAGTTGCTATACGTTGCTGCTATTCAATTCGGACATCTACAGAGTATCTGGCGGTCCTATTTTAACTTTAGCAGGTTGGTTTTTTTTGCAGACTGTATTTTTATTTTCTACGCCTTCCACGAGATGGGAGAGTCGGAGAAGTCAAGAGTGTACCACAACTGGTAATAATAATCTATGAATCTGAATAGAGATAACCCGGCTACAGATTGTATCTGCTGTCTCCAAATCCAATCTCCATCCCTGTTTATTACTTTATATCGAGAGGTATCTATCAAGGTGTCAGGAATAGTGTTTTTAGTGTGAATTGTGCAAGCAGCCAAGCAGATTACGTATTGATCAATTTAACTTTTACTTCAGGGTACCCTCGACAATCCTGGGCGCACATAGCCTCCATTCCCATATAATTTTTTTTTGGAAAAATCTCGTTGTTAAAAACGTATCCGCACCCGAATACGCAATACGCAACGTCGAGATTGTGTCGATAAGCGGATGATTCCTATTGGCTCCACGCCTACTGTAAATATTTTCTCTTACACAATACTATTTTTTTTCTTCAAAGGAGCAGGCCATAGCCTTTTGAAAATTAGACACAGAAGGCTATGTGAGCCGGCGGACTGCAATCTGCAGACCGACCCCGTCTGCAATTCTGCATCAGCCAGCACCCCCCAACTCATGGCTCTAACTCGAGGCTCGAGGGCCGAGGGCCACTCGGCCTCCGAGGCTCAAAGTCGAAAGTTGGGGTAAAGATAGACACAATAGTTCATATTTTTAATACTACAATTGTGGACTTGTGGCCAAAATCAAAAAGTGAGCTTATATATCAATATGTCTGTATGAAAACTTGAATATTATAAGAAAGGCGTGAGGCTAGATTGGAGCCTGAAGGACAGTGGGTGAGGTTATGATTTGTGTGAGTTGCGTGATGTGTGATTTTTAAGTTACGAATGCTGACGTTTGACAGAAATCTGCTGACTGGAGGAAACAGCGTCAGCCTTTAACAATGTATTTGTTATACAGACGCAAGGAATTGTATTGCCCTGCCAGAATCTCATTGCTCTCACAACCATAAATTACCATGCTTGAGAACATAGACCAAATGGTAAATTGGCGAAGATGCATTGAGAGATATACAACGATTAGGTACCATGAGATTGTAGTCGCGGCGGGTGCGCACTCTTTCAAAGCTGTATGTGAAGGAATACATCGCCAATCCTTTGTTGAAGCATATATCAGATGCATTTGTTGCGTTTCCTCACCTTGCGCAAGTATAAAGTGCGCATCACAGCCAATCTGGGTATGTTTATTTTAAAAACCTGTATTCGTGTAACAAGTTGTGCGGTGAGGAGAAAGACGCCGATGACATATTCGGAGGCACCAAGATTTGCGCACCGATTTGGCATAAAACAGTATTGCATAGGATGTCCACACGATGCGCCAATCATACAAGGAGCTACGTTTTACACTAAAGACTATCCAGTTTATCATATTATGGTATAGCTGACATGCACCTAAAATTATGTGTAGGCTTGTTGGTGTCTGGAGATCTAGCGGTCCATTCCACCAGAAAGGACATCCAAAATATATTGCACAATCTCATCCCAACATACTATAATAAATAAAACTCGAATTTTGAGTACGTATATGATGACAGACGCTTCACATCAACATTTAAAACCATTCCGTTGTATTTTCTGCTAACAGTTTTCCGTCTGAAACGTCAGGGTATTGCTAGTTGACGAATTGAGCGCAAATGATGACTATACTTCTTTCGAGTACCCCAATTTCATTTAGATTCATATTTGAAGCGCTTCGTGTTGATATCCTTTCATTGGTTTTACATGAAATACCCAAAAAGAGGGACTTTATAGCACAACGAGAATGTTGCATTCCCTATCAGAGATTGTAATCATAAAAGCCTATACCAGAAACCAAATACTACTAATACACGACCACCAATTCAAAACGTTATTGCCGAGTAGACTCGCTGCCCAGCATTCTTGTTTACCTGTCTATGTCACAATCAAATCTAGAACAGACCAGCAAAGTAATGTAGGATACGTTTAAATACATCTTGTCAATAGCTAGTGAAAGGGGCACGCCTCCATTAGTGAAACGCATTTAGCGAACCAGTCTATCGCTTGCTGTGTGATAGTGTAGAATAATTGGCCCCACAATGTCTGTCATGGCCAGTGAGATCAACATGCGAGGTTCTTGTCGAGCATGTGGGACAGCTTACCGTAAGGGAGTGACGATGCAACATCTCGACCCAGAATGAAAGTTGTACATAGAATAAAAGTTATACATATAGTGAATGCAGTTTAAGGAACCAAGGCACATGTACCGATATTTGTACACCCTTTATTTTGAAAAACGCTCACTCCCTAACCAATTGCACGCATCAAGATGGCTGTTCTATCCCAAGTTATATCTGGATTTATTTCTAGTCTGTCAGTGCGGAGTGTTCTCCTGTCGGTCTTGATGGTATGCATGGCGTCGTATCTGTGCCGGCAACTCCGAGATTCTATCCGTGGTAAAAGCCGAGCCCTTATACAAGGACCACCAAAACGTCTAATTGTCGGCAATACTCTCGGTAGGTATATACTAGTCCTCGTTCATCTGCCCACTCATACTACGGGTGGTATAGAAATCGAAGTGAATACACGCACGAGTTTAGAACCGGTATATATTTCAATTTGCTTGTGTGTATCAGTTTGAATTTCTTGTGTCCGTCTATTCTGATTCAAATTCTACCAGTGCGTTTTCTAACCTTCTATCGACACAACTCACAGAACTGCTGAGCAACCTGCATAGACTAAATGAGTACTTCGTGGATTTAACCAAGCAATACGGTCGGACCTTCCCGCTTACCTTATTTGGAAGACCCACCACCCACGTCACATCCGACCCCGCTGTCATCGAGCACGGTATGGAACGCGTTTATCCTCTGTCTACTATATCCAAAGCGAGCTTTTGTATCGCTAGCCTGTGGGATCGTCTAGACTACCATGTCTCATTCATTCCGTACATCGCGATAGAATAAACAAGAGCCATAGCTCGGTTTACCATGCTCACTGCATATGGCGGTATCACATAGGTACAGGATTGTCCAGACTCTCAAGTCCCAACCATGCGTCTAGTCTTGAAACATTGTTAGTATGGCCAGCGCTACCACTCTATCTACTGCGCTCATAGCTATAGTTCAAATACGGTGTAACTGGCTTATACGCTCATCCAGTATACACTATTGATCCGTCCTAGTGGATATACGGTTCCTGTCAGGGTGCTAGTTTCCACTGTACAGCCTATACCATGCCCACTGCGGACCCAGGGCTGCGATAGTTTGTACTGTAAATTCTAGTTCTAGCAGGCGAGTTTATCTACAGATACGGGTGCTTTGGGTTATATCCATGTGAACACATATCATTCTACAGACTCAGGTGTATTTTAAGGAAGTGGAAGTGAAAGTCGGGCGAGTTTGTCCATCCGCCTCATCGAACCCACATCTTTGCAGAGGTTTAATATCCTGATAAGTATGATGCATATAGTATCTCGTGAGATGTAGTCGAATCAAGTCACATAAGTATTGCCTTAACATCCACATCAACGTTCTATCATGCTAAACAGTGCTGAAGACCAATTTCCTCGGTTATGGGAAGGGCCTGAGATTCCACAGCATATTCGAGTGCCTACTGGGTGATGGGTAAGATACTACTGTGAATGGATCGTTTCAACACGTTCTATAGATGTGTGTATTTGCGATACTTCCACTCTTGTAGCAGGCGATGTAAGGCTGTATGCGGCCCGGTGTGGAAGTATAGGCAGAATGTTCGTACACCAAGCAGCTGATGTCCCTGATGGATGTCTCGCACAAGTGTTCACATAAGACAACGCAAACAGAGCTGTCGATTTGAAACCGAGAAGGTTGGGCGTGTTGGTTGATCTCGTAATGTGACTTTACGTACGAGTGTGTGTGGAGATGTACGATGTATTTGATTCGAATAATGAGACTATACGTAGGAGTGTGTGCGGAGATGTATGGTATATTTGATTCGAAAGTTCGAATCAGCTCAACAGACCCTAGCACAAGAATATCACTGTACATGGCGTTTAATATGAGAAAAAATCAGCAATGCTTCTCACAAACTGTTATAGAATGCGTTCTTATACACGCTGATATATAGTGGCTTCTTAATTGTCTATGCTTGACTCTGTGGACACTACATATCTGCCGTCAGAGGGTCCTTTCCGGTTACTTCCAGTTGCACCCGATGCAATACACACGCACTCGATAGATATCATTTGTGGTGTGGTGTCAAGGGTTCGCATGCAAGCGACCACAAATAGTACTTATGCATAGTAGCATTGACCAGTATTCAAACAGCCACACACAAGGCCTCGAGCATAATACCAAACTCAGACTGTCGTGCACCCTTGCCGCAGTGTGTGTACCAATAACTAGCTAGGTATGAGCGTATTGGTGTATGCACCAATATCCAGCTAGGTAAAAGCGTATGGGCGTATGCAAGAGATACTCAAGTACACCCCTGAGCATCCACAACACCTGTTGATTGTATACGTACCTCCGCTATACGACACTCATATGTGTCACATATGTCATCACACAGAACTCATAGATGCGACTATGCCAATGGTACCATGTCACTACAAGTCAGAATGTGACCTGACACTAGTTTACAAAAGCATCGCTGGTTTCTCCTCACACTTTACAGCATATTCAATGCCGATGGCGAAACATGGGTTCACCAGAGAAAGGTATGCATGTATAAGTGTAGTGTATATCATATGATGCATATTATATGTACAAGTATAGGAGTATATCATATGATATATATCTTATTTCCTATGTGTAATAGTATATGATATGATACATACCATATGCACAAGCATAGGAGTATATCATATGATACATATGACATGTATAGGAATAGGAGTACAACATATGATAAATATCATATTTATAAGTATAGATACATACCATAATATAAATATAGGAGGATATAAGATAGTAGTATATTATATGATACACACCGTATTATAAATATAGGAGTATATATCATATGTGTAAGTATATGAGTATATCATATAAAACATATCGTGTGTATGGGTATAAGAGTGTACTCGCATGGTACATATCATATGTATAGGTATAGGAGACATACAATTCCTACATATACATTCTAACTTACAATCTCATCTATATCAAAATCTATACATACATTCAAACTTACAATCTCATCTATATCAAAATCCACACTTGCAATCCCCATATATACATTCCAACTTACAATCTTATCTATATCAAAATCCACACTTGCAATCCCCATATATACATTCCAACTTACAATCTCATCTATATCAAAATCCATACACCTTTCAAACTTACAATCTCATATATATCAAAATCCACACATACATTCAAACTTACAATCTCATCTAACTTGCAATCCCCATATATGCATTCTAACTTACAATCTCATCGATATGAAAACCCTTATATACATTCTAACTTACAATTTCCTTATATACATTCTAAATTGCAATCTCATCTATATCAAATCTATACATACATTTAACTTACAATCTCATCTAACATACAGTTTATATATATACATACACATATATGTATATATATATATATAAATATATATATATATTTATAAATATATATATATATATATTTATATTCTACCTTACAATCGCATCGATATCAATTCTTACACATACACTTCAACTTACAATATCATCTGTAACATTATCTACATATACATTCAGTCAACAATCTCATCTGACCTACCTTACAATCTCATCTGTGCATCCACATCACATACAATTCCTACAAATACATTCTAACCTACAATCTCATCATTTCTACATATGTATTCTATTTTACAATATCATCTATACAATCTATATACAATTCTTAAATGTACACACGAACAAGTATTTTAAACCTTCCCATCGTTTACCCATTAATCTCTACCCCCACAAACAGATTGCCAGCCACATGTTCAGTGTCAAAAAGTTCTCGCAACATATGGATCACGTTTTCCAGGATCATGCGCTTCAGGTGTGTGTCTGCTTGGGATGTAGACGTTGTATGGAGGAAGCTATGATTCGGGTTGTAAGGAAGTGTGACATAAAACGTTATATATATATATATATATATATATATATATATAGTATATATATATGTATATATATATA